CGGCATCTGGCATTTGGACTGAGACGCTGGCCTCGGAGGGCCATCTCCAGTCGCCTCATCGCGAACATGAAGCCGATGTGCTGGCGCTGACCGCGCTGCTCTGCCCGCGGCCGCAGCGGGCCCCCGGCTGCTCGGGTCGCCCGCGGCGCTCGGGTGGGCGCAGGGGGTCGCGCCAGCCGCGAAGCCCGCGCCAGCGCCCGCCGCCGCCGCCGCGTCGCCACCAGCAGCCGCCGCCGAAACCATCGGAACCGAGGCGCCGCCACCCGCGAGCGGCACGATGCAGCCGCCATGACGGCGCGGCATGGCCTGGGCAGGCGCCACCAGACAGCGCCACAGAAGCAGCGTGACCAACTTACTCAGTCTTGGCGCGCTTCGCATAGCTGCCGACGGCCTCGCCGAGACGCTTGCCCTGGGCTCGCATCTCGGCTTTAGCCGCTGGGGGCTCTTGGCCGAAGGCCTCGCGGTAGAAGGCCTGCACTTCTGCGAGGTCGCCGTCGTCGGGCGGCGCCGCCGCAGCAGCAGCGGCCGACTGGCTCGCCCTCGCGCCGCCATCGGCTGGCGTCTGCGCAGGGGGCTCGGGCGGGGCTTTGGCACGCTCTGCTGCAGCCTTATCGACCTGGCGCAGCTGATCGAAGTTGGCCTGGATTGCCGCCGCCGGCGTCTGGTCCGCGCCGATCGCACCGAGCATCTTGCCGAGTTCTGCCGCCGACAAGTCTAGGGCGGGAATAGCAGCCCGCGGCGAGTGGACCCCCGCCTCCGGCTGAGGGGCCATAGCGGCTGCAGTCCGCCTGGCCGCCTCAGCCTCGACCAGCTCGCGAGAGGCGTCGACCGGGGCGCGCTCAGCCTCCGCGATCTGGGCCTGGATCTTGACAGCCCTCTCGCCGAGCTGCTCGACGATGGCCTGCTGCCGCTCCTTCTTCTTCTCGAGCGCCGTGCGCCGATTGGCGCGCGGGTGCAGCTGCGCCCCGATCGGCTTCTCCGAGGGGATCTTCCCGCGCAGCCGAGATTGCTCGGCGAGCAAGGCCGCCTTGCTATCGTGCATGACCTCGTCCTGCGCGTCGCCGAAGGCCTTGGGCGCGTTGGTGGCCCGCTCGAGCGCAGCCTTATCCGCCGACGCGGAGGATCCAGTACTGTCATCGACCTCCATGGCCATGACCTGGCCTTCGCCAGGCGGCTTGGCCGACTGCGCCCCCTTGAGCTTGGCCGCGGGCGACTTGAGCTCGCGGTCCTTGGCCCCGACGGACATCCTCAGCTTCTCCGCCTCGGAAGCCGCGCGCCGCTCTGCCGCGACCGACGCCGAGGGTGCCCCTGAGCCTTTGGTCTTGGGCCCAAAGAAGCACGCGCCCTTGTCCTGGCCACGCGAACGACATTGCTTGAGGTCCGCTCGGTTCAACCAGCGCTCGCCAGTCCGCCCATCTGCGCAATTCTTGCACAACCACTGCTGCGCCTGCGTGAGACGGCGCCGCTGGTGTCAATTCATATATTAAGAGACTGGAGCGAGCAGGAAGCCAGCGTGCCGATGTGCATACTGGGAAGGCGCCTGTGGACACGCGAACGCAGTGAGGGCCGCTGACCCTCTTGCCAGGTGCCAAGCCTGAGCAACCGCTACGGATTTGAGCCAACATGGCTACGGATTGGAGGGGGATGAGGAGGAGGAGGAGGAGGAGGAGGAGGAGGAGGAGGAGGAGGAGCAGGAGGAGGAAGAGGAGGAAGAGGAGGAGGACCAGTGTGAACACAAGGGTCATCAACAATGTTGGACTCAACCCTCCCTCCAAGCTCCCTCATCAAAGGCACCTACAGCAGTTCATCTCCACTGAGGGAATTGCCTCGTTGGGAGACAACCGTTTGAACATTCTGAAACATGCCAGAACATTGGTCTCGGGATTCCAACGCCACGGATCAACCTGACTGTTGCGTTTGGCGAGCCGGAATCGCACCATAACGCCATTTGTGGGATTTCAACGCCCAATGTAATTACTGCGCCCGCATAAACTTGAATGTTTCCAAAACGCAGATTCTGGTCAGATACGTTCATCCAGGGAACCCGTGAAATTCTTGTAAATGTTATGAACGAATGTGCGCGGCGCTGGGGCGAGAGCCACATTTCGACAAACAAATCATTATCCGTGAAGTTACACATTTGTAAAAATTGAAGGTACGCGGCGCTACAGCGAGAACCACGCATTGAAAACCAGCCGTCCTCCATCAGTGAAGCTGTTGCACATGTTTAAACCGAATGTGCGCGGCGATCAGGCGAGCGCCACATTTTGAAAACCAGCCGCCCTCAAGCCGTAAAGCTCTTGCTAGTTTTCAAAACGAATGTGCGCGGCGATGGGGCGAGAACCACATTTTGAAAAAGAAAAACTTATCCGTAAAATTACAAGCTAGTAAAAAGAATGTACGCGGCGCTACAGCGAGAACCACGCATTGAAAACCAGCCGTCCTCCATCAGTGAAACTGTTGCACATGTTTAAACCGAATGTGCGCGGCGATCAGGCGAGAACCACATTTTGAAAACCAGCCGCCCTCAAGCCGTAAAGCTCTTGCTAGTTTTGAAAACGAATGTGCGCGGCGCTGACGCGACACCCACATTTTGAAAGCCAGTCGCCCTCAATCCGTGAAGATCTTGCAAACTTGTAAAACGAATGTACACGGTGCGGAAGCGAAAACCACACTTTGAAAACCAGCCGTCCTCCATCAGTGAAGCTGTTACAAATGTTCAAAACGAATGTACGCGAGTGCCACATTTTGAAAAACCAGCCGCCCTCAAGCCGCAAAGCTCTCGCTAGTTATCACAACGAATGTGCGCGGCGCTGAGGCGAGACCCACATTTTGAAAGCCAGTCGCCCTCAATCCGTGAAGTTCTTGCAAATTTGTAAAACGACTGTACGCGGTGCTAAAGCGAGAACCACACTTTGAAAACCAGCCGTCTTCCATCTGTGAAATTGTTGCAAATATTCAAAACGTATGCACGCGGCGCTCAGGCGAGAGCGACATTCCGAAAACTAACCGCCCTCAAGCCGTAAATTCTTGCTCGCTTTCAGAACGAATGCGCGCGGCGCTAAGGCGAGAGCCACACGGTGATGAAGTCTCGGACGAAGTGCCCGGCCCGCTCTGAAACCTTGCCTCGGGGTGCGACAGGGAGAAGTTGTTTATAAGGAAAGAATGGAGGAGGAGCAGGAGGAGGAGGAGGAACAGGAGGATGATGAGGAGGAGGAGGAGGAGGAGGAGGAGGAGGAGGAGGAGGAGGAGGGAGGAAAGGAGGAGGGAGGAAGGAGGAGGAGGAGGGAGGGAGGAGGAGGAGGAAGGAGGAGGAGGAGGAGGGCGGAGGAGGAGGACAGGGAGGAGAAGGGGGAGGAGGAGGAGGAGGAGGACGCCGAGGAGGACGCTCGGCCAGGGCACGCTCGGCAGGAGGAAAGGGAGAGGGCGGCCGCGGAGGGGGAACGTGGTGGGAGGCCCCAGGCGTAGAAAGTCCACACCACGAGGAGTGCGCGGGCGGCTTCGGGCACCGAACATACGGTAGGTTTGCGTCGTGTCGACCAGCGGCGACCCCAGCGCGGGCGTTCAAGGTTGAACGCCGCCGGCGACCCAGAATCGATCGATGTTGAACGATCGGACGTTGCGGCAGCGGCCGATCGTTCAAGGTTGAACGATCCCTGCGGTGTCAAAAACCAACGCTGGGGTCGGCACGACACGAACCTGTCGTAGGTGCACGCACCGAACGGCGTGCGGTCCGTACCGGCTGCCGCGAGGCGCAGGCGGCGCGATCCCGGCGGAGAGGCACGCCGTCGTCCACCCAGGTAGAGCTCCTCCTCCTCCTCCTCCTCCTCCTCCTCCTCCTTTTCCTCCTCATCCTCCTCCTCCTCCTCCTCCTCCTCCTCCTCTCCCTCCTCTCTCCTCCTCCTCCTCCTCCTCCCTCCTCCTCCTCTCCTCCTCTCCTCCTCCTCCTCCTCCTCCTCTCCTCCTCCTCCTCCTCCTCCTCCTCCTCCTCCTCCTCTCCTCCTCCTCTCCTCCTCCGCCTCTCCTCCTTCCTCCTCCTCTCCGTCTCCTCCTCCTCCTCCTCCTCCTCCTGCTCCTCCTGCTCCTCCTGCTCCGCCTCCTCCTCTGGGCCTTGGGACCGCCAAAAACCGATTCGAGGTGAACAGCCGGTCCCGGGAAGCGGTCCCGACCTGTGGGGTCCACGTTGTGAAATTATACGAGACGTATCCAACCCCTTTTGCACGCGAGGCCATTGCTTTTTTTCGGGGGTGGACAGAACCCCCAACAGTGACACGTCGATTCGTGAATTGTCCGTTTTCGGTTCTCGAGAGGGCGCCGTGGCCGTTATTTTCCAGGCTTGCGCCCACCAGGTTTGGGCCTCAGGTCGTTTCCACTAAACCACGTTTTACTAAAGGGGGGTCTGTCCATCCCCGATATTTGTATGAAATACTTTTCCACACCAGAACTCCAGAACTCGCTGCGAGATATGCAGCATGAGCTGCTTCGCCAAACTGTGTAGGGCCACGCGCGTCGCACACCTGCGTAGACCATATCGTAAAAGGGACGGCGACGACAAGCACGAAAATGGCGACTGTTGCACAAGTCGCAGCCCAACCACAGCAGCGAGTTCGCAAAAATATTGGTTTGATTACTCACCCCGCTGTACCTCCCAGTAGCCCACGAAAAAAGGCAACAGTAGCGCAGTTCGCAGCCCCCGAGAGAGCCGCGAGGTCTCCGTGGTCGCCGTAGTTGTCCGCGCCGCCGCCGCCGCCGCCGCCGCCGCCGCCGCCGCCGCCGCCGTCGTCGTCGTCGTCGTCGTCGTCGTCGTCGTCGTCGTCGTCGTCGTCGCCGTCGTCGTCGTCGTCGTCGTCGTCCGTCGCCGTCGTCGTCGTCGTCCGTCGCCGTCGTCGTCGTCGTCCGCCGCCGTCGTCGTCGTCGTCGTCGTCGTCGTCGTCGTCGTCGTCGTCGTCGTCGTCCGTCGCCGTCGTCGTCGTCGTTGGCCGGGCGCCGCTCGCCTCGAGGAGGCGCTGCCGCGCCTGCTGCCGGGGCCGGGCGGCGCGGTGCGCGTGCTGAGCGCGGCGCTGGCGCCGCGGGGCGAGGCGCCCGCCTGTGGCCCCCCGCCGTGCGTGCTCGCTTCGGGCCGGGCGAAAGGGGGGGATTGGGAAAGGGGGGGTTACGAAATCTCAGACCCCCCCTTTGCTATCCCCTCCTTTCGCCCGACCCGATCGCTGCTGCCGCCACCGCCGCCGCCGCCGTGCTCGCCGCCGCGTGCGTCGCCGGCGGTCCGATCTCAGGAGGGGAAAAAGCGCAGACACGATTAACCGTCGATCCCCAGGGAAAGATGGGAAAACATGGGAAGTGGGGGGGATGACAAGAACCCAGAAAATATGGAAGAACAGGGAATCTGGTTATTTGTGTGTAATTTTTTTGTGTGTCCCAAGGCCCCTTTACGATCGGCCGACGGCCGATGGTAGGTTCGCGTCGTTTCGACCAGCGGCGACCCCGCCGCCCGCGTTCAACGTTCAGCGCCGCCGGCGCCCCAAAATCGGTCGATCGTTTCGATTCACGGCCGATCTCAGGAGGGAGGAGGGAGGGAGGAGGAGGAGGAGGAGGAGGAGGAGGAGGAGGAGGAGGAGGAGGAGGAGGAGGAGGAGGAGGAGGAGGAGGAGGAGGAGGTTGAACGATCACCGCGCTGTCAGAAACCAACGCCCAAGTCGGCACGACACGAACTTGCCGTACCTCGGCGGCGAGCGAGGGGGAGAAGCGACAAGGCAAGGGTCTTCTCAGAGGGCGTCGGGGCTTCTCGGAGTCCCTCGCGCCTCCCGGGAGGTGTGCTCTGTCTTCGGGGGAGGCTCAGAAAATTGATCATGAGAAGGCCTTCTCCTTCTCGTTTCCCCCACAGGCGCGCCGCCTGCTCCTGTCCTTCGTGGTTGTTGGATACTGTGCATCCTGGGGAGGGTACCCCTGGACGTTCTGTGTATTTTGGCCGGCGCAGGATCTCATATTCTTGACGGATGGTTTGCTGTCCTAGGTCCGACTGTACCGATACTGCTACCTTTGCCTCGGTTTTACTTATTTGGACCTCGCGGGAGGCCCTCGTTGCTACCGCTGGAATCGTCTCGAAATTCTAGTCAGAGCGCGTCCCGGGAGAGGCTCGGGGAGTAGCGGGTTGCTTGCCGATTCCCCAGATCGTGTTAGACCCCATGTTCCCATGCTGGATGAGGAGGAGGAGGAGGAGGAGGAGGAGGAGAAGAAGGCGCAGGGGCAGGAGGAGGCAGGACGGTAAGGGAAAGACGCATATCATATGGGACAGCCAAAGCGACGGCAGCAGCAGCCCACACGATTTTCCGAAGATGCCAGGAGGAGGAGGAGGGGGAAGAACCAGAGCCTTGTGAGATCCAACAGTGCCAGATCATACAGCATCACAAAACATCAGTGATGGAGCCCCACGGAGACACCATCCTCCGGCGGCCTCTGTCGACCCGGGCCGATCCTTGATGCTCCCCGGGCTTGAAGCGGGGCGCAGCCGTCCAGAGCCAGAGAGCCGCAGTGCCCGGGCCTCGGGGCCGATCCGACCCGCCTCGATCCTGCGCGGTCCCCTTCCTTCGGATGCAACTCCTGGGAGGTTAAATTCTGTCTTCGCCCTGGTCCGAACTCAGGCTTAACCCGGCTTAATCCCGCTTAATCCGGCTTAATCCCGCTTAATCCGGCTTATCCCGCTTAATCTGGGGCCTAATCCGGCCCGGCGGCCCCGAAATGGGGCCTAATCGTTTTTAATCTTTCCGACGAAAACCTCCCAGTAGTTGCCTCCTAACCTTCCCCAAGGAGCCGGCGCTGCCGGCGCCACCGAAGCCGCGCCCCAGCCTGGACGAGCTGCTGGCGGACGCCGACTTCTGCCCGAGCGCCCGCCCGTGGGCGGGGGCGGACGTGGAGAGCGACCCGCTCGCGCAGCACGAGCTCACGTCCGTGTTTCTGGTCGGCCGGCCCGAGAAGTAAGTCGGGCCTTCGGGAGCCTCGAGACGGGGGTCAGTGCAGACGGGGGTCAGCCAGAGCGCTGGATCTTGCAGGATCCTGCAGCGCCAGGGTCGCATTGACCCGGGTTTGGGTGCAGGATCCTGCAGGATCCTGCAGGATCCTTCGCATTGACCCGGGTTTGGGTGCAGGATCTTGCAGGATTTTGCAGGCCTGATTGACCCGGGTCTGGATTGACCCGGGTCAGAAGATCCCCGAGGCCTGTCCCTCTACAGGTGGAATGTTCAAAAGTAGGCGAAACATAGCCTGGGGACGTTTTTTGTTGAGTGTTGATTTTGATCCTTGGGGGGTATTTTTCTAGTGCTTTTTTGTTGTTCGTCCAATGTCCCCCTGTAGGAGGACAGGTCCGACTTAACCCGAGAACCACGCATGCCAGGCCTCCCAAACTTTCAGGGGGAACAGATACTGATGCCGCTGCTCGTCCTGGAGAGCTGCCGCCACCGCCGGGGTTCGCCCTCGAGATGTTGGACGCTTCGAGTACCCCCACCAGCCCATCCGGAAGCGATGTCCGGGCGAGTCGAGGTGTTCAGGGCAGTGCGGGAGCAAAGAGGGGGGGACGGCCGAACCGTGCGAAGGAGGAGGGAGGAGAAGGAGGAGGCTGGATGGATGGATGGATGAGGGAGTGGGGAGAAGGAGGATGAACAGGATGAGGAGGAGGAGGAGGAGATGGAGGAGGAGGAGGAGGAGGAGGAGGAGGAAGAGAAAGAGTAGGAGGAGGAAGGAGGCGGAGGAGGAGGAGGGCAAGCAAAAGTGCCAGAGGTCTCTTCGATGCCTCTCGGAGCCTCTTGGGATATCTCTTGGGCGCTTCTTCGTGGCCTCTTGGCGGTTCTGGGGGGCTCTTGGGCGTCTTGGGTGCCTCGGGGGGGGTCTCTTGGGGCCGCTTGGGGTCCTCTTGGGGGCCTCCTGGGGGCCTCTTGGGGGCCTCTTGGGGCCATCTTGGAGCCATATTGGGGCCTCTTGGGGGCCTCCTGGGCGCTTCTGGGGGCCATTTTGGAGGACATCGATCAAAGAAGGGGGGTTCCTTACTTAGTGCTGCCCCTCTAGAGCGTCTAAAATCGCCTCTTGGGGCGCTCTTGGAGCGCTCTTGGGCGCTCTTGGGGCCGTCTTCAGGCTCTCTTGGGGATTCACCTTTGTATCATCCGAATTCTATACCGTCTGGTTTGTTTCATCAGTTGAATTTCATCTGTTTAATTGAATCCGTTAATTTCCACCCAGTTGAATTTCATCCGGTTCACATTCGCCCAGGTTGAAATTCATTCGATTGTACTTCCCTTGGTTTAAGTCCATCCGGTTTCGATTCGCCCGGTTTGAATTCATCCGATTTGTATGTGCCTTTGTTTCGCTCGCCCTGTCTTGCTTACGTCCGGTTTCAATTAATCGGGTCTTTATTCGTCCGGTTTAAATGCATCCGGTTGTACATCGTCCGTGTAAGTTCATCCGTTTTTTATTATTCCGGCTTCAATTCATCCAGTTTAATTTCGCCCAGTTTAAATTCATCAGGTTTTAATTTGCTTGGTTTAATTCATTTTGTATTTTCCTCCGTTCTGCTCCCTCCCTGTCCTTCTCCTCCTTTTCCCCTTCGCCCGCAATTTACTGCAATGCAGCGCATTGCAACTGCAATGCAAATGCAACGCAGTACAAAGCAATGCAACGCGACAGGATGCAATGCAACGCAACGCAATGCAACGCAACGCAGTGCAATGCAATACAATGCAACGCTACGCGATGCAATGCAATACAACGCAACGCAATTCAATGCACTGCAATGCAATGGGCTGAAACGCAATGAGTGCCTCGTCACGTGGCAGCGCCGCGGGGCCGAAAAAACAGATTGTCCGCTCCACTCGCCACGTGGCAACGCCTTGTCAGGCGACAAAAGACTGCTGCTCTACTCGTCACGTCGCAGCGCCGCAGGGGCTGCGAAACATAGGTTCCACTCAATTCGCCACGCGGCACTGCCTGGGAGGGCGACCAAACATGCTATTCCACAACATTCGTCACGTGGCAATGCCGCTTGGGGCCGAACAAAATACCCACCCATTCCACCTGCCACGTGGCAGCCTGGAGACGCGAAGAAATGGTACTAAATTCTCTTGAAGTGTCACGTGGCACTGCCGCTTGGGGCCGAACAAAATACCCACCCATTCCACCTGCCACGTGGCAGCCTGGAGACGCGAAGAAATGGTACTAAATTCTCTTGAAGTGTCACGTGGCACTGCCGCTTGGGGCCGAACAAAATACCCACCCATTCCACCTGCCACGTGGCAGCCTGGAGACGCGAAGAAATGATACTAAATTCTCTTGAAGTGTCACGTGGCACTGCCGCTTGGGCCCGAACAAAATACCCACCCATTCCACCTGCCACGTGGCAGCCTGGAGACGCGAAGAAATGGTACTATATTCTCTTGAAGTGTCACGTGGCACTGCCGCTTGGGGCCGAACAAAATACCCACCCATTCCACCTGCAGCAGACGTGGCTAGAACGTGGCAGACGCGAAGCCTGTGGTACTAAATTCTCTTGAAGTGTCACGTGGCACTGCCGCTTGGGGCCGAACAAAATACCCACCCATTCCACCTGCCACGTGGCAGCCTGGAGACGCGAAGAAATGGTACTAAATTCTCTTGAAGTGTCACGTGGCACTGCCGCTTGGGGCCGAACAAAATACCCACCCATTCCACCTGCCACGTGGCAGCCTGGAGACGCGAAGAAATGGTACTAAATTCTCTTGAAGTGTCACGTGGCTGCCGCTGGGGGCCGAACAAAATACCCACCCATTCCACCTGCCACGTGGCAGCCTGGTAGAAGTGCACGTGGCACTGCCGCTTGGGGCCGAACAAAATACCCATGCCACGTGGCAGCTGGAGACGCGAAGAAATGGTACTAATTCTCTCTCACGTGGCACTGCCGCTTGGGGCCGAACAAAATACCCACCCATTCCACCTGCCACGTGGCAGCCTGGAGACGCGAAGAAATGGTACTAATTCTCTTGAAGTGTCACGTGGCACTGCCGCTTGGGCCCGAACAAAATACCCACCCATTCCACCTGCCACGTGGCAGCCTGGAGACGCGAAGAAATGGTACTAATTCTCTTGAAGTGTCACGTGGCACTGCCGCTTGGGCCCGAACAAAATACCCACCCATTCCACCTGCCACGTGGCAGCCTGGAGACGCGAAGAAATGGTACTAAATTCTCTTGAAGTGTCACGTGGCACTGCCGCTTGGGGCCGAACAAAATACCCACCCATTCCACCTGCCACGTGGCAGCCTGGAGACGCGAAGAAATGGTACTAAATTCTCTTGAAGTGTCACGTGGCACTGCCGCTTGGGGCCGAACAAAATACCCACCCATTCCACCTGCCACGTGGCAGCCTGGAGACGCGAAGAAATGGTACTAAATTCTCTTGAAGTGTCACGTGGCACTGCCGCTTGGGCCCGAACAAAATACCCACCCATTCCACCTGCCACGTGGCAGCCTGGAGACGCGAAGAAATGGTACTATATTCTCTTGAAGTGTCACGTGGCACTGCCGCTTGGGCCCGAACAAAATACCCACCCATTCCACCTGCCACGTGGCAGCCTGGAGCCGCGAAGAAATGGTACTAAATTCTCTTGAAGTGTCACGTGGCACTGCCGCTTGGGCCGAAGCAGCACGCTGTTTTAAGCATGTCGTCGCGCGACAACGCCGCGGGGGCCGAAGATAATACTGTGCCACTCCACGCGCCACGTGGCAACGCCTGCAGGCGCGAAGGCATCGTGTTCCCTTCTGGTCGTCACGTGGCAGCGCCGCGGGAGCCGAACCAGACATTCTGCCACGAGGGCGGCGACGAGGACGACGACGAGAACGACCACGGCTACGATGATGATGACGACGATGGACAGGGAGGCGAATAACAATTCTATCCTCGGCCTTCTCTCTCCCCCTTTTCCTCCTCCACCCTTCCCCGTCCTTCCTTCCTCCCCCATCCTCTCTCCTCCCAATCCCCTCCCCCCCTACTCCCTCCTCGCTCCTCCTTCCTCCCCGTTTGTCTGTCTTCATCCCTTCTCATCCATCTTGTCCTCCCCCTCGCTCGCAATGTACTGCAATGCAATACATATATATATATATATATATAGCACATGCAATGCACATGCAACGCAATGCAACACATGCAACGCAGCAGGATCGTTGGTTGACCGATTGGTTGGTTGGTGGCTGGTCGGTCGGTAAACAGGTAGGTTGGTTGGTTGGTTGATTGGGCGGCTGCCACGTGGCAACGCCACTCTACTCGTTATGTGGCAGCGCCGCTCGGGCTGGGAAACCATACTATTCCACTCTATTCGCCACGTGGCACCGCCTGGCGGAGACCGACAACGTATTATTCCACGATTCGTCTCGTGACAACGCCTCGAAGGCCAACGAACATTTACTAAGCCACTCCACGCGCCACATGCCAACGCCTGGGAGCGCGAGGAGACATTATTCCATCCACTCTACTCGTCACGTGGCAGCGCCACGGGTGTCGAAAACAACAGTTGTTTCATTCCTTTCGTCACGTGGCAACGTTGTGTGGGCCGACAAAACATACTATGCCGCTCCACTCGCCACGTGGCAACGATTGGAGGCGCGAAGAAACAATATTCAATTATAGTCGCCACGTGGCAGCGCCGCGTGGACCGAGAAAACTATTGTGCCACAGCAAGGACGACGAAAATGAAGACGACGATGACCAGGGCCACGGAGGCGAACAACAATTCTAGCCAATTCTTCTCGCCCTTCTTCCTCCCCCCTCTCTTCTTCCTCCTCCGTCCTCCCTCATCCCTCCTTCCTCCTCCTTCCTCCCTCCTCCCCCTCCCCTCCTCCCCCCTCCTGGCCTCCTCACTCCTACTTCCTCCCCGTCTCTATACCTTCCTCCTTTCTCATCCCTCCTGTCCCCCCCCCTCGCCCGCAATGTATTGCAAGACAATGTATGGCAAACGCAATGCGAATGCAACGCAGTGCAACGCAGCAGGATGCAATCCAATCCAATACAATGCAATGCAACGCAACGCAATGCAATGCAACGTCTCACGTGGCAGCGCCGTGGGATCCGCGCGAAAACATGATGCCACGAGGGCCAGGGAGGCGAACACAACTACTATCCTATCCTCCTCCTCGTCCTTCTCCTCCCTCCTCCCTCCTCCCTCGAGCTTCCCTCCTGACTCCCCCTCCCGCCCTCCCCTCCCCTCCTCCCCCCTCCCCCCCTCCTCACTGCAATGCAATGTACAACTCCTCCCTCCACCCCTCCCCTCCTCAGCCTCCTCCCTCCTCCCCCCTTTCCACCACCTCTGGCGCGGCATCTCGGAACCCAGAGTTGCGAGGATGTCTCAAGCGAGACGCGCCCGACCACCTCGCGCACATTTTCTGAGAGCTAAGGGTTGCGAGGATGTTTCAGGCGAAACGAGCTGGACCACCTCGCGCACATCTTCAAGGCGCCAGGAATTGCGAGGATATCTCAGGTGAAACGGGCCAGACCACCTCGCGCGCAGCATCTCGGAGCCCCGAATTGCGAGGATGCCTGAGGTGAACCTCCTCGCCCTCTCCTTCTACTCCCCCGGGGGCAGAGTCGAGGCGGGTTAGTGGGCCGACCCTGCCAGAGCAAGGGTACCCTTGTGTCCTGTGCCTCGCGACCCATGCTTCTGCGCTCATGCGCGATGCGCGGCCCCAGAGGACCCGGCTCCTCCCCGGGGGGCAGAGTCCAGGCGGATTAGTGGGCCGACCCTGCCAAAGCAAGGGTACCCTTGTGTCCTGTGCCTCGCGACCCATGCTTCTGCGCTCATGCGGCACTGTGGCCCTCGGAAGAGCCTCGTGTCCTCTCGCGTGCCCTCTCCATTCCACCTCGACGGTGCAGTGCCGTTTTTTTTTATACATGCACCGCGTGCGGATCATGTATTAACATGCAGGGGTTTAGTATTAAACGACCATGAGTTCATGCATACATTTATTTATAAATCAATCATGTATTAAACATCGAATGGTTTTTAACAACAAAAATCCAATGGATTAAAAACTGCCCTGTACTTTCGCGCGCCGTCCCGGTTCCGTTCTCTCGGCGGCCCCGGGGCCCGACAGCGGGCCCCGGGGAACCCGAAGTCGAGGAAGTCGCCGGGAAGTCTCTAGGCCTCCCAGATGGGGTCGGAGTAGATGGGGTCGGAAGATCGCGCCGCATCGCCGATGCATCCCCGATGCGGCTCGATGCGGAGCCCGATTTTCTTCACGCGGACGTCGCCAATGCATCGCCGGCGTCGCTGTTACATCGCCGGTGCATCGCCGATGCATCGCCGATGTATCGCCGATGCGACGCGATCCTCCGACCCCATCTACTCCGACCCCATCTAGGAGGCCTCTAAACATCATGTCCCCGGAGATCCAACGTGTTGAACAGATCACGGCGGAGCGCATTTTTCGGCCTCGAGGGGCCCTCGCCTAGCCCCGGGGCCGTCAAAAAACGGCTCGGGATGAAAAGCCGGTCCTGGGGAATGTGTCGAGATTTCCGGGGACCCCGTATGGAGAAAATCACGACATCGGATCTCTGGGATGGGGATTTCAGGCCGAAACTCGAACCTCTGGCGGCTGTTTGGGAAGATTTGGGCACCCCCGGGACGTTCTGGATGAGGCGCAGCCGCTGAGAAGCCGCTGAGAAGCCTCCCGAGGCTGAAAAGCCTCTGGCATCCTGTTCGAGATCAAAACAATGGTCTTATCAGCGTTCGGGTTGTTCGAATCCCCTCTCTGACCTGACTCATTGTGGCCCTGAGGCAGAGGCAGTTCCACAGCTGATTGGTAAGGCCAGTGCTCGGGGAGGAGGAGGAAGAGGGGGAGGTGGCCTGCTTGGTGGCGCTCAAGCATCCCTTCTGGAGCCCAGCGCTGACCCGACGCTGCTCCCTGTCCTGGGCTTCTGCGCCCCAGGACACCCAAGTGGGGCCCGAGCACGGATGGGGTCGGTGGACCGCTCCCCAGCCTCTCAGCGCATCGGCGATGCAACTCGACGTGGAGCCCGACTTCCTCTCCGCCGACGTCGCCGACGCATCGCCGACGCCGCTGCTGCCCCGGCGATGCGGCGCGATCCTCCGACCCCCACGCGCTCGGGCCTACTCCTCCCACTCCTCCTCCTCCTCCTCGTCGTCCTCCTCGTCCTCCTCCCCCTCCTCCTCCTCCTCCTCCTCCTCCTCCTCCTCCTCCAACCCGGAGAGGTCAACGAGGCCGCGGGGTGCGCCTTGGCCTTCCACTGCCTGCAGGCCGTCGATCCCTGCGCGGCGTGAGCGGCGACGGGGTGGGCGGTCGGCCCTGGCCTGCGGCGGCAAGGTGGTGTCGGTCGTCGTCGTCGTCGTCGTCGTCGTCGTCGTCGTCGTCGTCGTCGTCGTCGTCGTCGTTGTCGTTGTCGTAGCCGTTTCGGCTCGAGCGATTGAGGTGAAAGCTTGAGTTTGCTGCTGCGCACTTCGACGCGGCACGTAGCAGCGAGCCAGAGTGCACGAGGGCCCAGCCTATGGCACCGCAGCATGGTGCTCAGGGCTCGGGCGAGAAGCAATGTCAATGGATTTGTTCGGGGAGCTGCAGCGGCTGCCCAAACAACCTGTCCCGCGCAGCCTGCAGGTCGTGCGGAGCCAAGGCGCCGCCCAAGACCGTGGCCTTCCTCAAGCAGTTCGCTGCGCCTGCGCCTGCTGGGCCGCCCTCGTCCAAGGGTGGTGGCGGGCGCGGTGGTCCCAAGCGGGCGCCGTGGTCCAAGCCTCAGGGCGGAGGGCGGGACCTCGATGCGGCGGGGTGGCCCAAGCCGCAGCCGTCTGGGGGGGCCAAGGGCGCCCGCCGCCCTGCTGCGGCCGTGCCTCTGGAACCAGAGCCCGCGGGTGGGGCCAAGCTCCTCGCGGCCGCCAACGAGCTGCTCGTGGCGGCAGGCCAGCCTGGCCTCACCCAGAGCCAGCTCGGCGTGGTCGCTGTGCCGCCGCCGCCCGAGGGAGGAGGAGACCTGGCCTCCAAGTCTCTTTCCCGGATCCTGCAGCGCCGCGCCGACAAGGCCAAGCAGGTGGAGAAGCCCAAGGGCCGTGTTGAGCGGGCTGCGGAGCTCGCGGCGGCGCAGGCGCAGTATGATGCCGAGGTCCGCCAGCTGCGCGAGCACGAGGCCAAGCTCGCCGAGCTGGAGGAGCTGGCGCGCGTCAAGAACGTCGAGGCTGCAGTCGAGACCAGCAAGGAGCAGATCACCGTCGGCGGCATCGAGGCCTTCCAGAAGGTGCTGGCGCACGCGCAGGCGGCTGCTCCAGGTGCGGAGAAGATCAAGGAGCAGGCCGAGTCCGTCTCCGCCTTTTTCGCCGAGCTGGTCGCTGCCATGCGCGAGGAGCAGCACAGGGAGGCTGCCAAGTGCGGGGCTGAAGCTGGCGCAGCCGCTGCGGCTGCTGGCGCTGCTGGTGGTGCTCCTGACGCCGTCGACCCAGGCGGCATCGACGCTGAGGTGCCCGACTTCGACATCGACGAAGACTTGGTCGAGGCAGTCAGAGTTGCCGTCCAGGAAGGAGGAGGTACCTTACCTAAGTTCGACTTCAAAGGTGAAAACGCTGACGAGGACAAGGCCAAGATCAGACGCATGGCCTCCTCACTGGGTGTCTTCGCCCAGCGTGCAGCAAAGAAACAGCGAGTTTAGCGGCACTCCACTTGCCGCTGGAGGGAGCTCTGGAGCGGTGGCTGGAGATGCCGCCGAGCCCGAGGTGCTGCACTTCATGTCTGCCAACGCCAACGCGCGGTCGAGTTGCCAAGGGCTGCTGGAGTGGGCTAAAGGCGTCGGTGCTGGAAGGGACGTGGCGTGCATGCAGGAGCACCGCCTGAAGACGAAGTCCAAGCTCAGCGCGGCTGAGAAGTGGTCAAGGCAGGCCGGGTACATCTGGAGTGGGGCCGAGGCCATGTCGACGGGGCCAGGGCCGCTGGACAGCTCAGGGGGCGTCGCTGTGCTGGCCTCAGTCCCTGCTGCGCTGGAGGAGCGACCCGCGCGCTCAGCAGGCCTGCCAGGGCACCGGGCCCAAGCGGTCAAGCTGAACACGGGGCTCGGCTTCCCCATTTTTGTGATCTCGGCCTACCTCGTCGACAGCATAGGGCTCGTTGGTGACAACGTCGTGTTGCTGGGCGCGCTGATGGAGTGTCTTGGCACTTTCGAGTGGCCGCGGATCATCATGGCCGCCTGGAACATCGAGCCTAACTTGCTGACCAGCTGGGCCAGCAAGGCTGACGGGGTCGTTGTCAGGCCGTGGCAGGCCACCTGTGGCAATAGTGAGTATGATTTTGCAGTGGTCTCGACGGTGCTGGCCAGCCGTGTTGGCAAGGTGGAGGTCCTCAGCCAGGCGCCGATGCACCCGCACTTGCCTATGGTCATGGAGCTGAACGGCCTGCACAGGAGGGCCACCATCACGAAGGCCAGTTACCCCGCCAGGTTTCCCTTCGAGCTCCCTCCGCCGACGCAGCCCGCGCCGCCAGAGCTTGACAGTGGGGATTGGGCCTGGGAGCTGGGGGGCAAGGTCGGGGACATCAAGGAGGCCTCGGAGTTCTGGCTGGACATGGTGGAGGACTACCTGTCCCGCCTCCACAGGGTTGAAGGCCCGCGGCGTGCACCCCCTCGCTCGCGCGGACTGGTCGTCAAGCAGGTGCCCCTACGCCTCGAGTGGGCCCGCGCGCTCAAGGCCACCACCAGCCCCGAGGCCTGCAGGTGGGCTGGCTTCCTGGCAGCCTGTCGGCGCGCGGCTAGCATTCGAGGCCTGGGCAGACCCTGGCAGCACACAGCCATGGGGTCGAGGGTCAGGGTCATCCAGAGCTTTGTGTTCGGAGACTGGTGGCCCACGGCAGGGAAGTTGCAGGGGTGGGACCCGCACTCCATTGGGCTAGCCTTCAAGGTGGGCCCGCAGGAGGTGTTTCTTGGGCTGCTAGGCTGCATCTACCCCCACACCCGAGGCTTGCAGGCGCGTGACCGCGCCAAGCGAGCTGCTGAATGGAGAGAGTGGGCTCAGCAGGCAGCTACCCTTGCGGGGGGGCAGCAGGCCTTCAGGTTCATCAGGGATGGCTCCCTCGTGCCCTCCATGATGGTCCAGCATGATGATGATGACGGTGATGAGGGCCTGCCTGTCGCTGGCGATGCTGCCATGCAGGTCCTGATGGCGGAGTGGCAGCCCCTGTGGGTTCACCCAGACGGCGGGCGATGCCGACCCTCTGCACTGGCAGCAGGACCGAGGGTGCTGGCAGCAGCTGCGGCCCATCACCATGGACGAGCTCGACCAAGTACTGGCCTCCTACGGGGAGGGCACGGGTCTGGGGTGGGACAGGCTCCACCCCCGTCAGCTGCGCTGGCTGCCCGTCCAGCACCGCCAGGCGTTCCTGGACATCGTGCAGTGCTGGGAGCGGGAGCCGACCATATGCCCGTTGTGGCTGCTGCTGGCGGCGTTCCTGCCGAAGCCGTCTGGCGGGGTGCGGCCCATCATCTTGGCGAGCCTGTGGACCCGTGTTTGGTCCAAGCTCCGCCAGCCCTTGGTGGCCGAGTGGGAGCGCAGGATTGACGAGTCGTTCCACTGGGGCTCGACTGGCCGCACGTGCGAGAAGGCTGGCTTCGTCCACAACATGATGGTGGCGTTTGCTAAGCGGACAGGCCTTTGTGCCAGCACGCTGGCGGTCGACCTGACCAAGTACTATGAGATGATCAGCCACGACGAGCTGCTGGAGCAGGGCATCGTGGCCAGCTTTCCCCTGGCCCTGCTAAGGGCGCTCTGCTCCAGCTACCGCCTGCAGAGGCGAGCGATGCTGGGAGATGGCGTCGGGCCCGTGATTGAGGCCAACGGCGCCTCAGCTGCTGGCTGCTCTTGCGCGGTGGGCGTGGCCAAGCTCCTCACCTACGCGCTGCTCAAGGCAGTGGTGATGCGCTACCCGCTGGCGCGCGCCCAAAGCCTGGTAGACGACTGCCTGCTCCAGGCGGTCGGCACGCAGCGCCTCGTCGCCCAGCAGCTCCCGCTCGCGGCTCGAGAGCTTTTCGAAGGCCTGGAGAAGCGGCGCCTCAGAATCAACTGGGGCAAGACGGGCTGGCTCGCCACTGATGCCAGCCTGGCCAAGGAGCTGGACGCGCAATGGGCCGTGCTCGGCCTCCAGCGGCACTCGGGCCTCAGGTGCCTGGGAGGTGATGGCAATGATGGCAGCCGTCGCCGTGTGCCTGAGCAGAACAAGCGCCTGGCCAAGTCCAAGCGCGTGGCGAGCAAGGTGGCGCTCCTGCAGTCCGCTGGGGCCAAGACCTGCCACCTGCATCGCGGGTCGCCGTGTGCCACGGCGGTCTGGGGCTCAGGAGTCACTGGCCTGGCCGACGGCAAGCTCCACGGCCTCAGAGTTGCGGCGCTGCGCTCTGAAGGCCGAGTGGCCGCTGGTTCGTGCCTGGCCTCTCGGATTCGCACGATGCCGAGGGCCGGCACCAGGGGCCCGTTCGTGGTGCACAGCATGGAGGTGGCCAAAGCTTGGGCCACTGGAGTGACGGATGGCATGCTGCTGCCGCGCGCCATCGAGGTGGTCCACACGCACGCGCTGGAGCTGCTCGACGCCAGGTCGCCGTGGACGCAGTGTACTGACCCAGCCCAGGCCGCCGTCCTGTGCTTTGCGAGAGCTGGATGCCAGCTCGTTGAGCCTAGCCTGCTTCTTGACCATCGAGGCAGGCGTGTCGATCTGCAGTTTTTTGTCGCTTGGTGCCGTCTGCAAAGTGGTGCAGCAGGCTGCTTGGGCCGCCTCGGATGTCATAGCCCTGAAAGGTCTGAGGGGTCCGTGGGTTTCTCAGGTCCACTGGGGCCCCGTTTTGGCTGTTCTGCAGGAGTCGCCAGGGCTATGGACTAAGAGGCATAAGGCCGCCTTTCGTTCCGTCAACTGTGGGGCTCACTGGAGCCAGAGCAGGCTTTTTGACAAAGGCAAAGCCACCCACTGCATGTGTACCAGGTACCGTGACCGAGGCACGGTGTGGCATCGTGTGCTCGATTGTCCCAGCACGCAGTTCCTTCGTCGCGAAAGCTGCCCGCCTGAGCTTCTCAGGGCCGCGAGAGTTGTGGCGAGCGAGGGAGTGCAATGTGCTGATTTTTTTGCCCGTGGGCTGCTGCCCTCGCCTGTGCACGTCTTTGGGTGCGAGGAAGCTCCCGAGGCCAACCATCTCAGGTTTGTCGGATGCCTAGAAGGCTGGCTGTTCGAAGGCGGGGTGTTTGTGGACGGATCGCCTATGTGCACTCAGCATGGAGGCCTGCGCAGAGCGGGCTGGGCGGCTGTCTGCATC